ATTCCTGTTAAAGTCAGGAATAAGATAAGAATGCCCACCAGTTGGGGCGCCTGGGTGGCTCAGTCGTTTAAATGTCTGCCTTTGGCTCAGGTCCCGGGTCCTAGGATCAGGCTCCCTGCTCAGTGGGGGAGTCTGCTTTTCCCTCTCCCTCTGCCACTCCCCCTGCTTATGCTCTCTCGCTTTCTCTCTCTCTCTGTGTGTGTCAAATAAATAAATAAAATCTTAAAAAAAAAAAAGAAAAAGAATGCCCACTAGTACCACATCTGTTCAGCATTCTAAAATCCAGCCAGAGGAAGATAGTTTCTCAGAAAAAAAATGTAAACATTTCAACAGAAGAGACAAAACTGCCATTATTTACAAATGATATGATTACTTGCTGAGAATCCAAGGTAATAAAATTTAAAAAGTCTATTAAAACTAATGAGTTTAATATGAGTGCTAGATATAACACCAGTGTTAAAATATTAATAGATTTTTCCATATACCACCAATAAGCAATCATAAAATGCCATGAAAAAATCTCATGCATAAAAATATCCAAACCAAACCAAAACAAAAAGCCAAGGAATGAATCTGAAGAATGTACAAGGACACAAAAGGACTTTTTAATAAATAGACATCTTATGCTCCAGGATGAGGATATTCCATGTTGTAAATGAACTAGTTTTCTATAAATAATATAGAAACTCACTGTCATCTCAATAAAAAAGCCAATGCAATTTTTCATGGAACTCAATAGATTCTAAAATTCATCAAGAAGAGAACATGCAGAAGAATTCTAGTGAATAAAAGGAAAAGAAAAATAATAAGGGATGGAGAACTTATTCTAGATATATCAAAAGCTTCTTCAAAGTTATTGTAATTATAATATTGTGGTATTTTTACAGGGATGATAAAATAGATCATTGGACATGAATGGAGAATCCAGCAATGCATTTAGACATGAATGGAGATCTCTCTATATAAATAAAATGTAATTGAAGTCCGGGGGAAATGGATGAGCTATTTGACTAATGATATTGGGATAATTGGCACTCTATATGGAAAAAATAAAGTCAGATCACTATTTTATAACACATCCCAAAAACAAATACACACACACACACACACACACAATCTAAAAAGTACTTGAAGAAAACATAGAAGAATAATTTCATAATAAGGATATATGGATTTGGGAAGCATTTTTTGTTGTTGTTGTTGGTTTCTTCGTTTGTTTGTTTTTTGGGAAGCATGTTTTAAAGCAAGACATAAAACCCCAAAACCGCAGCAGAAAAAATTGACAGCTTTTAGTGTACAAACATTTAAAAATTTTGCATGATGAATAAATAAACAAGCAAAATGTGAAGACAAGTGTCAGATGAAGAGAAAATACTTGATGTATTATGGATACTGGATAATACTTACAACCTTGGGAATCTACTGTGTGTGAGACCTTGTGGGGGACACTTTCATTTATGTCATCTCATGTAACCTTCAAATTGAGTCTCTGAAGTAGAAGTGACCTACCCATTTGACAGATGAAGAAATTGAGGATGTGACATTTTAAGTATTTTGCTTAAACCTCATGGCTCAGAAATAAGTTGGGATTTGAACCCAGACCTAGCCTGACTCTGGCCTCCTCTGCCACTTCTATCCTCAGGAGCTAGCATGATTTCTCACCCCTTAGAGTCACTTGACTTATTCTTGGTGGTTTTGATTTGTTTGCTTTTGGGTATCTTGTCTGGGTAGCTTGCTTCTGGCAGTGGAGAGGGTCCTGAGGTGAGGATGGACAATGGGCCATGATTCCATGACATGCCTGCTCATGAGCTCTTGGGGGACAAATACAACTTTCTTCTTTGGCTTTTGAGTTTCCTGGGGTGCCCTTATTATCAGCCCTTGGCTCAGGGGGTGAACTAGGGAGAGCTGGGCGTGGTTGCCTCCCTTTGGTCCTGCCATGCATGCCCACCCTCTGCCCCTTTTGCATTTACTCCTGACAGGAAGAGCAGAGTTAGGGTGAGCCCTCTGGAACTCATCTGATTGTACCGCGGGTGGGACAATCCAGGGCTCTGCCTGACTGGCTTGACCTGCTCTTCCGTTTCCTTCTTGAGTCCCCTCCCTGCTTTGGCTCACTTCTTTTCTGACTGATAGATGTGGGCTGTCCTAGGTTGTTGTGAGAGGGGCAGTCATCATATTTAGAAAGGCTGACTGCTTGCTAATAAGCATACCCCCCACCAAGAGCTGAATTGGGGATTTAGCAAACCTTGTTCCTCTCAGCCACGATCCCTTTCTCTCTCGAGTAAAGCCTCCTGTGCCTTCTTACTCCTAGTCTCCTGCCACAACAAGGTCAAGTTCAACTTCCTAAAGCACAGATTTTATTACATTTCTCTCTTGCTTTAAAACCTGTAATAGTTCCCCACTGAATTTTCAAAATGAAGTTCACAGGTGTTACATTGGGAACCAGGAAGGAAATATTAGATATTCTATTTATACTTAATCCAAAAATTAAGAAAGAAATTCAGCTTGGGTAATACATCTCTAATATACTGATTGTTTCTGGGGCACCTTCTTAGTCCATCTGTCGTGTGGTCCTGCGTGTGCCCACATCGGGAATAGCATAACATAGAGGGACTAGGAGACGAAGACACACGTTCAGTTTACTGGGAAATACTGCAGTTCCCATGAGCCTGGTCACATGGTTGGATTTCCAAGCTCCTTCCCCCCAACCCCAAAGGACACAGCTCAGAAAAGATTCTTAGAAATGGAACAGGCAGGACTCTTTGGATGTAATCATGAAAGTCCCTTTAAAAATGTCTTGTAGGATTTTCCTTCCCCTGTCCTGTGAATGAGGACACAAGCATGGCATTTCTCCCTGTCTTCATGCCTCCGGCCAAGGAGGTGGTTGTGGTGGCCAGCTTCTCTCCCTGTAAGCCTTGCTTCTGTGAGGGAAGAGAGCTAAGGGGTGGAGAGGTCTTACTCGGCTGGTGCTGGAATAATCTGACCCTGTGCTCTCCAGACATGGGAGATTTTTGAAGCTGGCTTTCTTTTGTGGGTTCTCCAGGATTCCTGTGCAAGGCCTGCCCCCCAACAACTTGGGGTGACAGGAAGTGCTTCTTCTGCGCCTTGCTGCTCCCCACCCAGCCTCAGTTTCTACCTCCAGTGGTTCCAGCCACTGCCTCTTACCACCTGGGTCTTGCTGGCTGAAGGCCGCCATCTTGGGAGGACCCCTTCTAAACTGGCCCAGACCAGCATTCTTATTGGCAGTTCTTATGGCACCAGGCTGGTCCTGGTGTTAGAGGGGCGTCTAGGCCCCCTTTTGGCCACGCTGCTGGAGGAAGAGAGAGCAGTGCCTTCCCTAACTTGACCAGAGAGGCTTAGGCCAGTCCATGGAGGCCAAGTTTCAGGTTTCCAGATGCTTCCTCACTAAGCTGAGGGTAGGAGGGTGCTCTCTCCCAGCCCTCGCCCTTGATATGCCAAGCACTCTAGACGCCATCACTGTGGATGTAGTGGGCGGCTCCACTGATCTTACCACCAGGCTGCCTGTGTTCAAACCCTACCTCTGCCTCAGTCCTTGCGTCAGCTTGCACACGTGGCTGGAAATCCCTGTCCCTCATTTGTAAAATGGGCATAACACGAGTCCCTGCCTGGTAGGGCTGTTGTACGCTCAGTACATTTCCAACAGCTAGAACAGTACGTGGCACTATAAAGCACCTGACACTATAAAATATTAGCTATTACTGTCTTTATAAAAACAAGACCTTTAGGGGTAGAACTTCTATAATACTTTACAATGAGATGGTGGCGTCTCTGCAGGGAATGCTTTGCAGTGGTGATACGGTGTTTATTTCAAAAATTCATTTTTTTTAAGTTTTAAAAAATGATTTAAAGAAAAATATGAGCTAGCCAAAAGTGCTCGAAAACAAAGCAAAAATTGTGAAGGCGTGCCTGTGACTGGTCTTGGAAGCCACAGGTCTGGCCTCTGAGCTCGCAGGGGCACCCAAGGCTTGGAAGGGGCTGACAATTAGCCTCTGTGCCCAAGGGCTCACACAGAAGCAGTTTACTTTGTTATCTGAGCTTGCCAACTTTCCTCAAAGGTGAGTTTTATTTTATTTATTCTTATTTTTTATTTTTTTAAATTGAACACCTTTAGTTAAAAACAAAACAAAAACTTGAGCACGCAACCCCACTGTATGTTTGTTTAAAATTATATTTGTATATGAGAGCAGAATAAGCTGGTAGTGATAAATATAAACTCTGTAGCCAGACTGTGGGGTTCAAATCCCAGCTCTCCCACATGTCAGCTGGGTGATATTGGAAGGTTCACTTGACTTTTCTGTGCCTGAAAAGTATAAATAATAATACTACCTCATAGGGTTGTCGTCTAGGTTAAATGAAATGATGTGTGTAAGATTTTAGAATATTGCCTGGCATTGGGGGCCTAGGTGGCTCAGTCAGTTAAGCATCCAACTCTTATTTTATTTTATTTTATTTTATTTTATTTTATTTGAGAGAGAGAGAGAGAGAGCACAAGCAGGGGGAATAGGAGAGGGAGAAGCAGGCTCTCTGCCAGGGACCCCCATGTGGGTCTCAATCCCAGGACCCTGGGATCATGACCTGAACCGACGGCAGATGTTTACCTGACTGAGTCACCCAGGCACCCCAAGCGTCCAACTTGTGGTTTTGGCTCAGGTCATGATCTCAGGGTTGGGAGATGGAGCCCCACATCACATCAGCTTGGTGCTCAGTGGGGAGTCTGCTTCTCTCCCACTCCCTCTGCCCTTCCGTGCATGTGCTCTCTCTCTTTCACTCTCTCTCTCGCAAATAAGTAAATAAATCTTAAAAAAAAAAAAGAAGATTGGTATGGAATAAGAAACTCAGTAACATTGTGTATTAATAGGACTATTGTGTAATAAAATCAGTATATTATAAAATACAAAGAAAATAGAAAAAAAAGAAAATTTAAATTTAGATGAAAAAATAGCAATAGAAGGTCTAATATGTCGAAACCTTGACATTCCCAGATTATCTTGTGAACCCTGCGGCACATTCACCTCCACTCGGGAGACGACTGGCATCAGCAATGACAAGAACATACCATGATTCTTGAGGTACCTCATAAAGCGTGGAGGACTGTGGGTGGATTTCCCCACATGTGGATTATATGCTCTCTCATTTCTACCCAAATCTCCTGGCTTCTCTGCTTATAAACAGTAGTCAGGTCAGGCTGAACGTGGGGTTGGTGAGTCCTTGGCGGCCCGGCCAGTCCTGCCTAATCATTACTCAGGATGGAGCCGTGCCTGGGCTTTGCTCTGTGCTTTGTCTGTGCCTCCCTAGGCGTAAGCAACTCCTACCCAGCTTAAAGCCAGGGAGCTTCAAGCCCATGGGAACAGCTACCTGCTAGTCTGTGCTGTGAAACCAGCCATCGATTTAATCAAATGTGATAACAGCTGATTAAAACAGAACTGCCTAAGCACAGGTTGGTAGCATGCTCACACTGAGTCTCCTGCTCCTGGCAGCTTCTCTTCTTCACACTTGGCCAAACTAGAGAGCTCCGGCAGCCAGGGGACCGAGGACCCTGGAAATCCTCAGAGTGGCTGGCTTCATCAGGACTGGTTGAATGACTGGCATGGGGGGAGGCCCAGCGAAACCTTTGACTCTGTCCAGGGAAGTGGTTGGTGGGTGTTCCAGGAACAACGGTGACTAGTAGACCTAGTGGGAACTGGGCCTAGTTACTGATAAGAGATCTCCATGGACCTGCAGAAATTATCCCAAATTCCAGCTGATTTAGGTCAGATAATTTTAGAGTTGAAAAGGGCCCCAGGGACCATCTAGTGGATTCCATGCCTGGCTGCTTACGGGGTCATGGGGGAGCATTAAACTTTTTGTGGTAGCTTAGTTCACACAAGACAATGTAACCGTATCATTGTACATTTCACCTAGCTTAAAAAACCAAACTTGCCCAGTACAGCTGAAGTCCCTGCATGATGACTCCTAATTGGCTCTCCCTCTCCCTCAACCCAAAGGTAACCTCATCCAGAGTTGAGTGTTTATCATTCCAATTAGGGAAAAATTAAAAAATAAAAATTATCTCCGAAGATCTGGATCCAGTAGACCTGAGATGATGCTCAGGATTTTTTTATAAGATGTATGTATTTATTTATTTATTTGAGAGAGAGAGAGAGAGAGAGAGAGCAAGAGAGAGCACGAGTGGGGGGAGGGGCAGAGGGAGAGGGAGAGAAGCAGACTCCCCATGAGCTCGGAGCCAGATGCGGGGCTCCATCTCATGATCCTGAGATCATAACCAAAGCTGAAATCAAGAGTTGGACACCTAACCCACTGAGCCACCCAGACGCCCCAGGAATCTGGTTTTTAAAAAGTTCTCAAGTCCCTTCGATGATGCGTCGGAATTGGTGGATACCCATCATCGCTGAGGTTTGGCTGAGTGACCTGAGTGCTAAAGCTGGAGCTAAAGCCTCAGAGGTCCCACCCGGTGGTGCCACCTCCCCTCTATGGGCCACTGGGCAAGGGATAAATGCTGTCTAAGCCTCAGTTTCTTCATCTGTAAAAAAGAAATAAGGATAACAAAATCCCTTGATAGCTCAAATGTGCCTATGAACCTGTAAAAGGCTACACTGACGTAGGACTCAAGGGCTCATGCCATGGGGCTCATCCACCCTAGGGGTGCCTACCTATTGATGGGGAGCTCATTCCAGAAATAGCCCATTTTTTGGATGGGGGAAGCTCTGAGATACAAAAGTCCTTCCTCACCCTGGAAGAAGTCTATTCCCTGCAATTTCCTCCTACTGGATTTAATCCTCTCGCTGGGGGTCTGTGGCTTAAATGTAATCCCTAACCTGCAGACCTCTAAATTACCTCTGAGTAATTTCAGACAATTGTACCCTTTCTCCCCTCTCCATATCTCAGCTGTAGGCGTCTAAACACATTGTCGACTGAGAAGGTCCCTTTATGATTCTGCAATATCCCTCCCTGCCAAATTATTATGGGCATGGCTGCAATCCAGCAAAGCTAGGGAGGTGGGTTCCAGGGTTAGTAATTCAAGAAGAGCTGTTTTGCCTCTAGTTAATTAAATCACTTAGTTAAATTAATCGCCTATGCTCTGGTAGCTACTTACTAAAGAATCTACTTAGTAAAGGCATAACATTCATGGAGCCCTTTTTATGTGTCATGCACTGTACTAAGTGATTTGTAGGCACTTAGCTCTTACAATGCAGCCAGCAAGTGGCAAGGTGGGGTTCAGGCTCAGGCTGGCTGACTCGGAAGCCTGCATGCCCACCACCGTGGCATCACCTCCTGAGCTGGTGGCTTGCACCATGGAGGGAAACAGCAGAGGTAGTTAGAGCATGGCTGGTTCCTCTTATTTATGGATCATCTCCCTTTGCCTTTGGAACATTCCCTGCTCAGGCAAGAGCTAAATGCTCTGAACACATCGACGACACCCTACGTTTACCTAATCCTCATCAGATTCACAGAAGAGCTTTGAACTTCCGGCGGAGACAGCTTTACTTCTTCCCCATCGTGCATCCTGCCTCTTCCCTCCCCTGGAAGGCTGAGCGACTCTTGAGCTGCTCGTAGGTTTGGAGTGAGACCGGCGTCCCTTCCTGTCCTCGCCCTGCTCTCCCAAACTGGGGACACCTCCCACTCGTTTCCCTGCTGAGGGGGCCTCATCGAGGAGGAGCTGCCGGGCTTTGGAGCAGCAGAGTTTCTGGCACCCAGGGCAAGAAAGCTTCCCGCCTGGCTGGCCCTGTGTGACTCCTCAGACAGATATTCCTCCACGCCTGGCCTGCCTGCCCACAGAAAAACTACCCTGAAGGGAGTTGAAAGGATAGAAGGATGTCACCCTCAAAAAGCATGCCAGTCCAGCCCCACGTACTGCCCAACAACCTGCCCCTGAGTGCCTGAGGTGGTTCATCTTGTAGGTGAAGCTGTTCAGAGAGAACAGTGTTCTTTGTAACGTACCGTAAGCTGAGAAGGTGATCGGGAACTCGCAGTGTGTGTTGTGCAGGTGGAGGATAGTAGACTGTGCACCTTCCTTCAGGGTCCATTTCTAGGTGGAAAATTTATTTTACCTCCACTCAGCAGCCTCCTCCTGGACTAGAACAATGTGCCAATCCCAGAACCCTGTTCGGCGATGACTCCCACCAGCCCCCAACTCCCCTGAGCTTCTCTTTGTCAGTCTATAGAGCAGGCTCCTGGGGGCAAAGTATTTACCCCTTGTGGGTGTGGTGGGGGCGGGGGAGGGACCAATGGAAGAGTTTGGGATCACAGTGGGCCAGGCAAGAATAAAATGTCGTTACTGTTGGCAAATGCAGCTTCATCTCTTTGGCCCAAACTGATGGACACTTTTGAGATGATCCCTTCCTTTAGGTTTTTATACTTAGCAGTGATGGTTAGAAGTCTGCAGTGATTGGTATATATTTGACATCATGTGTTACTTGCCTGAAAATACTCCCCGGGAGCAAGGATGTAAGGCCAACTCTACTTTGCAAACAAAGCAAAGCAAAACCAAACCAAACCAAACCAAAAGGAGTCTGTCTCTGAACAGAACCACATTTTTTAAAATGATTTTATTTATTTGAGAGAGAGAGAGAGAGAGAGTACGAGCAGAGGGAGTGGGAGAGGGAGAAGCAGGCTCCCCGCTGAGCAGGGAACCCAATGTGGGACTCGATCCCAGGACGCTGGGATCATGACCTGAGCTGAAGGCAGATGCTTAACTGACTGAGCCACTCAGGCACCCCAAGAACCACATTTTTTTTTATCATTTTTTTTTTATACTATGACAAACAGGGCCAAACTGTTTCCTCCTATCAAAACAACCTAAAGAAGCTGAAAGAAACTTAGGTAGATATTCTAAAATGGTTGAGACCCAGGATTCCAAAATAGTCTCTGAACTGGAGCTAAAGCAAATTGATATTTCATTCTGAATTGATTGATACTAAGAAGTTGGACAGTCTATTTATAAGAATAGGTTTTGTTTTGTCTTGAGGGAAAATTTCCGTACTGAGAAAGGTACATATCTAGAGTGTACCATTTGGTGACTTTCAGCAAATGCATAAACCCATGTATCCTATACTCCAATCAAAACAGAGTAGCTTCAGCGTTATAGATTTCCATGTACCCCTTTGGTTGGTTCTCATCCTCAGAGATAACTAGCCACTGTTCTGATTTCTAACACTATAAATTAACTTTGTCCTTGGCATTTCTTTTCTTTCTTTTTTTTTTTTTTTAAGATTTTATTTATTTGACAGAGAGAGACACAGCAAGAGAGGGAACACAAGCAGGGGGAGTGGGAGAGGGAGAAGCAGGCTTCCTGCGGAGCAGAGAGCCCGATATGGGGCTCGATCCCAGGACCTGGGACCATGACCTGAGCCGAAGGCAGACGCTTAACGACTGAGCCACCCAGGTGCCCTGAGCCACCCAGGCGCCCCTGTCCTTGGCATTTCTTTTCTTTTCTTTTCTTTTTTTAAGTAAGCCCCTGGGGCTTGAACTCATGACCCTGAGATCGAGAGTCACATGCTCTACCGACTGAGCCAGCCAGGTGCCCCTGTCCTTGGCGTTTCCTATGAGCAGAATCCTACAGTACATTCCCTGTTGCTCAACATGCTTTTGAGATCCAATCATGTTGCAGATGGATCAGCAGCTTCTTCTTTCTCATGTCTGTATGGTATTCTGTGATATGGATGTACACAGTTTGTTTACCCGTTCTTGAAGGCTAGTTTTTACACTTCTACAAGTCATGTATAGGTGATCATACATAAATCACTCATCTATTCATCAGGCAAATGTCTTTTTCCAGAACTTTCTCTAAGCCAGGTGGTGTTGGAGGCGCTGGGAAACTGTGGTGAACAAGACAAAGCCCTTGCCCTCATAGAGCTTTTTTATTCCTGTGGCGAGAGAAGCAATATACCAGCAATAGAAACCACGAGCAGGACGGCGGTGAGAAGTCCTATGAACGGGCTTGATCTCTGCAATGACAGGAAAGTGGCTTGTTCAGCTTGGGTGGCTGGGACCAGCCTCTCTGAGGAGGTGACACACAGGTGGCCAGGTGAAGGTGAAGACCCAGAAGAGGAACATTCGGTTCTAGAGAACAACTGGCTCAAAGGCCATAAGGTGGGCCTGGAAGGGCCATCTCAGTGTTGAAGGAACAGGAACAAGTCAGGGGGACTGGAATGACATGAATATGGGCGGAAGTGGCAGGAGATGGGGCCACAGAGGAAGAGGGTGGAAGCAGGAGGTATGTGCGGAAAAGGAGCTTGGGTTTTATTCCAGGAGTGACAGAAGGCCAGTGAAAGGTTGAAATAGGGAGTCAGATGGTCCGATTTATAGTTTTAAAAGGCCATTCTGTCCAAGGGTTGGGGAGGGGAGTATCTGTGAGATCAGTTAGGAGGCTTTTGGAGGGTGTGTGTGAGATGGTGGTGATTAGGGTGAGACCATTGCCAATGAGTAAGGGGGCATGGGTAGGGGGGAGGGATAGGGCCATGATAGAAAGAGAGGCACCAAGGATGATGACTCCTAGGTCTTTGGCCTGAGCAGCACCATCTTCTGAGATGGGTAAGACTCAAGGTGGTGTCCAGCTGAGAGGGGTTGGGGGACAGGGGTCAAGAGCTGTGTTTTGGCCAGGGTCGGTTTCGGACGCCTGTTAGATTGGATATGTCTAGTGGACAGTTGGGTATGCGTCATCAGGAGCTCAGCCAAGAGGCCCAGGCTGGATACAAAGCCATGTAAGTCCTCAACATAGGATGGATATTTAGGGCTGAGGGGCTAGATGAGATCACCTAGAAAGAAAATAAGGAGTAAAGACTGGGTCCTAGAGAAGAACCAGCAAAGGCAGCTGAGCAGACAGATACAATTAGGTCTCTTGCTCTCATCTCTATAGCTCTTGAAAATTCACAAGCGACTTAGCCATGTGCTTCATTATTTGGGCTTCCTGGCAGTCCTGTTGAGATACTCAGTAGAACCTCTGTTGCAAATTGACCTAGGCTGATTTGGTGACACATTGGTACTAGGTTCTTTTTGGTAAATCTGGTAGCCCCAGGGAGTTAGAAGTAAGTGAGGGTTAGCTACTCACCTACAACCTGGATAAAAGGCAAGAAACAAAATATGTATCAGACCAAATGTTGCTACACAGGTAGATATTAGCCTATAGGCTCAGAGGAGACCTACAGAACAGTCCTACAGTGGTTCTGTGTGGGACATTGGGTGTTTTAGGGGATCAAGCCTCTGGTGCCATCCCTAAAGGTTAAGGGCGAAGGATCTAGTAAGGCTAGGAAGTGTCTAAATATCTTATCTTGTATTTTACTCTGTATATGGAATGCCACTAATTCTATCAGTGGAGCCCATTTGGTACATCCATTATGCAGATCAACAAGTCACTAATACCCCCCATAGAAACTCATTCTGACATTCATTATGTGGATTAACAGAGCCTCTAAGTGTCATGATTGGACATAAAAATAGAGGAAGTGCTTATAGTTCTGTCCTCTGGGGTAGAGTCTGTGGGGTTTAGTGATCGCTCACCAGGCCTGGAGTGTGCAACCTAATCAGGGTGGCTGATTGTCCCTTGTCGTGCCCGTTAACATCCCCCCACATTCGTATCACACTGACTTTGCTGAAGTATTTTATTTTATTTTTTAAAGATTTTATTTATTTCAGAGAGAGAGAGAGAGAGCATGAGCGGGGCAACGGGCAGAGGGAGAGGGAGGAGCGGGCTCTCCGCTGAGCAGGAAACCCAACACGGGGCTTGATCCCAGGACCCTGAGATCATGACCTGAGCCAAAGGCCGACACTTAACGACTGACCTACCCAGGCGCCCCTTTCTGAAGTATTTTAAAGTAAATCATTAATATCACAGTAAGATTTGTACAATTAAAGGACAACCTGAGATAATAGAAAAAGTCTTACGTTTAGAATAGTAAAAATAATAATAAATAGATACTAAGGACCGAATCCTTATTCTGCACAAGGTGTTGAGCTAAGTTCTCAGCTCGAGTGTTTCATTTAATTTTTACAAGCACCCTGGAGCGAGATGGTATCATCTCCGTTTTCTGGATGAGAAAATGGAGACTCAGAGAGTGACTTGTTCAAGGACAGCCTGCTGGTGTGCACCAAGAGATGACTTTGAACTTGGCTCCAATTCCGCAGCATGTGTTGTAAGCACCGATCTCTGCTGCTTGGGTTCAAGACCCGGATTTGCTCTTGGAAAAGTTGCTAATCTTGCTCTGCTTCAGTTTCCTCATCTATAAAATGGCGGGTGTGGGGGGGATGGTAACGGATGAGCCAATGCATGTGAATAAGCTCCCTAAGCTGTGAAAATGCTCCAGTGTCAAGTGCCACCATTGGCATGACCCCCATCCTCTTCCTGGTCCCTCACTTAAGTGACAGTGACACAAGGCTTTCTTGTTGACAGGAGTGTGGCTGGGTGTGTTTTGTGCAGTGTCCAGCATAACCCCTTGGCCCTATCTT